GGAGCAGTCTATTAGGGCCCCAACTTCACATATATTTTTTCGCAGTCTATGCGCATTACTGAGAACTAAGTGAAAACGTCTGGTATGGAGAGCCCCGGGTCGTGTGCTACCAGAATGCGCTCTGCTAGGGCGTAAGTGGACCGTCGGCTCACCACCCGAAAACCCACCAAACATAAACCTCTCTCGCCAGCTTCTCGACGCGCTTTAAGGTTTTGATGGCTTCGTTAAGCTTTATTTTATCCACTAAAAGTAGGTCCGGTTGTATACTCATTCCGGAACCCTTTACTTGAGAGGCGAAGCGCAAAAGAGATTGGCGCTTCTCTGGTGTGGACAGGACCACGCGCAATAGGACGGGGCCTGCTTTTAGTACTGTCACCCGATATGTTCCCAAGCCTGGTAAGCTTCTCGGACCTTAAAAGCTGTTGTCTAGGAGCACATGAAGGCAGTGGATTTGTGATGAGCGATAAGAGGCCGGCATCTAATCGTTTTTTTTGTGAACTGCCAACTCACGATAGGAATGCAACCTGTTTTTGATCTCACTTGCACCTGCTGTTTGTAGTCCATCCGTTGATTTCTCGATTGCGACGAGCGTTAGCGCACAGGTTTCTGAATCATTGCCGTGGTTATATTGAATCGCGGGTAGTGTGTTTCCGCGAGAATAGCGAATAGCTGCTGCTCTCAAGCTGCTGTTTTCAGTCGTAGTTCCGAAGGCAGTTTGTTGCGTAGTAACTGCCAGCTACGGAGTAAGTTCATGCCCATCTGTTGTGACTGTACCGGGCCACTGCCTCTTTAGTTTGGCGACACGGGTAACCACGTAATCAAATGAAGTATGACGTCGCCCGCACAGAGAACATCACGAATGTAAAACCATTCTTTCAGGTCATGGGCGTAGGCATCTTCGTTACTGGTTGTCGGTAGCTGGGGCACGCCGTGAACGAAAAAATTCTTTTGCTACTCTCCGTGTGGTGATCGTATGAATTAATTTTGTCCCCCTGGCGTTCGCGCCATGGAATATCCGGAAATATACGTATTCCATCGTGTTCACTCCGCAGGCGAAATGCCGACAAAGCACCGTCTCGACATCATCTGTCGATCCCGATGTTACTCTTATTGGCCGGGAATCTTCTTACTGAATCGAGCTTGAATGTCTAGTGATGCAGTCGGTCTGCCTTAAACTCCGATTTTATCACAAAGGCAATGCCATTTCGTTAAACCATCTTGTTGTTTACCCCGTAAGAATTTGCCTTGGACTCAGGAACGTTAGAGCATATAAATGTCAAGGCACGGTAGTTCCGCCTGGCCTTCGGTGATGTGGAAGCACGGTTATCTAGGACTTTGGTGACTTATCTGCAGGTTGCACCTGGTCCTTGAGCCGTTTTGCGGCAGTACCGGGTGAGACTATTGAGGTTGCACTTTGATTAGATCGAACGAAAACGGTTGCATTGGTAGATCGGTCTTTAGAGGGCTTCGGATTTTGTTGGTCAATCGGAAGGGTAGGTGTTACCAACGTTGCATTCCCCGATACATTGGATAAGAGTAGGTGGGTGGTAGGGGGTACGTATGCTTCTATCGGTCGTGGCAGCGATGTGGTTCGTGGTTCCTATGGTTTCCAGTACTGCGTGGCCGTGTGAAAGCCTGGACCCTTTCTTTGGCTTTGAGGTAACAATTGGGAAAGACGGATGAGGTGCAAGATATGCTATCGGCGCCTTGAGCGAAGCAATTTTGCATTTAAACGGTGTTCAGTTTCGGCTACTAGGCGTTCATACCTTTGTGTTAACGCTAGTACGCATTTTACTAGTGGAACCGTCGTACACTACGGACAGAACCAAAGTGAACCCGGCGTATTATATTTCTTTATGTCGGTTCTACAGACTTTGACGCACTTCGAATGATGCCGGTAAATGCAGTTTCTACAAGTCGACCCGTACTTTTAGCACAAGTTTGCTTAGCACAAAATACTTCGTTTCAGCTTACCAGCGTTGTAGCCGTGATGGTCGAATAGTCGCTGCTTGTTGTGCAATTATCTGTCGCGTCGTCATCGACTAGCGTTTGTTCGCCGGCCGTTAGATCAAGGTTAAATGACTGGCTCACCCCGCTTCGTGTTAGATTACTGTTCCACACAGGTTAGAGTACTGTAGAACAAATCCAAGATGGCGGACACAGATGGCAGCTAGGCCAATCAAGTCAAGTCGTCAAAGTAAGCTTTATGTATCCAGCACTTTGCCAAATCGACTACGGATGAGCTAAAATTACGCTATCAGAACTGTAAATTTGTATGAAGGGGAAAAAGGACACTGCGTACAGGTAGCAGTTGAGTAAATGGTCAGTATAAACAAGCGATAGTGAAACATTTCCGTGTAGAATAATCTACAATTGCATCCCGCTGGAAGCCAGGCGTTGCAAGCTAGATTTCCAATCAAAGACTGTCCATCTTCAAATGCGCCGTATCCTGAGATTTTCTCAAAACTTATGCGAAAGACAGCAGTGTTGACCTTGACAATAGTTTGCTAAAGGTCAATGTTTAAGTGGTCCGAGAAAACTAATGTATCCATAGCGGTATTGTAAAACCGATATTTAGTGAAAACGGCACGGCCATTTAAAGGCCGAAATTAGCTGGAGAATATCCACCAAATTTGCACGGCTTGCAAAGCACACCAAAAGGAAAATAGTGGTGCATAATTCACACAGAAGACACGTATAGCATAGTAATCCTGAAGCATAAGTACAATCCAGCACGGTAATTCAAAAATCTGCAGTGTCCGTGGTTACAGCCAACAGCGCAGTGAGAATTATAAACCTCCGCGTCACAATTCAAACGGATACTGCTAACTCATACAAATCCCATATCGTTGTAGTAAACAGTACCGTTGAACCCAGTAACATGTCGGAAAACCAGAAGCCGGTTATCAAGAGATTTCCGTGCTAAGGATTGGTCTTCTCTACTTAAAGGGCTCAAGCAAGAACGAAGGCCGTTGCGCCATGTAGTTGGGGTTGTCAACGAGCAAGTCCCAAATGACAGCTAGAGTTTCGACACTGCCCTAAGCCTAAAAAGGATTTGGGTTTGCTCTAAAGTCAACTTGAGCCTATTATTTGTTGCCCACCCGCAAAGCTGCGCACCCAAACTGGTCTGGTGCTCGTTCCCACTTCTCAGAGATGGAAAGTAACAATGCGATTCCAACCTGGAAGGTAACGACGCCTTTACCCCAACTTCGCAGCTAATGAGTTCACATGTATCTGGACCCACGCTTAACGAGTTCGCTACATACGTGTAGCCATGTGCTGTTCAGCTTAAAATCTAACACTAAATATGTTACTAACGTCAGCATGAATGTTATTGTTATTCTTTGCTTTGTACTATTCGTTTTATTCTTTTAGTGAAACTGGTCATCGTACAGTATTAATATGGAGAACTGTGCAAATGATAAGTTGTAAGGAAATCGCGGCGGATCGGCCCGCTTGAAATCCTCCCTTATTCGCTTCTTACCAATTGAAATATTATGTTTAATCAACGATTTCCACTTTACTCCCCTTCTCACACTTAACTCTGCAACCTTATCCTCTCCAAGTTGTTCGGAGTTGATCATTTTGTCATTCAAATGGTTCAAAAAGATTACTCGGTGTCTACGTGTTCCACTCACTCCCTAGGTATTTCGACTTGCCACTTCATAAGCCCCCTTGTAGCAGGTACGGCGTTAATTAGAAGACGTAGCAAGCATCAAATATGTAGCAGACAGTTCTGTTATCGCTTGCTTGCAACACCATACTCCACTATCACTTTCGTCCATTTTCAGAATTTCAGGCAGATTTAGCCGTAGCTGGAAGTGGATCCGTTGATGTAGCGGTTAACGAGTGGCGACTTGCGCATTACGCCACGGATCTCTGAAAGTCAAAGCGTGAAATGTGAATTATTCTTTAAATTCGGATCCAATCAAACTCTGAAACCACACAATCTCCTCAAGCAGGAACGAAGTCCAGAACGTCAATAAAAGGTACTTAAGGATGGTAGGAAGAATTCACTTCGATTCTGCAGCATCTCTATGAAGATTCCGCTGCGATCAATTTTCCGTCAACTATCCGTGCCAAAAAGCCTCTGGACTAACTTGAGTGGATGATATCCAATGGTCAGTGTACTGAACAAAACTGTCACCATACCAGATTACGAGGGTGTAAATAAAGTGAAAGGTTTACGCAGGCTGCTTAGGCGAAGGGTACTCACTGTCGAACATACGCACTCATGCGGTCGCTGAAAAGATCAACACTAAGGGCAAACGCGTAATCTTAACAGACCATACTAAATGGTCATCTGAGCCTAGATCTCCCGGAGACTCTCACTGTCTTAGTCAGGTCCGCGGGTCTATCTTTACACCCAAGTTTGTCAGACTTCATTTTGCTATTTACATGTCTATCGCACTAGACAATTGCATGTATCTGAATGCAATAATCTTGCCAGTTTCTGGTTGTTACACTTTTATCGAATTATGAGCATGCTTACATTTTATGGGAAAAGGTGAGCAAAGGGATAAATGCAGTTCGGGTAACTAGCATTCATAATTTTTTCCAGAGTTAACTAACATTAGTTTACGAAGATGGTGACTATCTGCCAATTTTCAATAGAAACTACGAATAATTGCTTGCATCGCTGTGATGAAAAAGATTATAGGTACGGCAATACATAGTCTTAATCATGCGAGGTACCGCAGCTGGACAGTTGAATGTGTTCTGGTCCACCAAAGCGAGTTGAACTAATCAATTCAGAGCTTTAAGCTGGTGACCACGTGCGATCACTGAGGTGCAATTACAACCAGGAAGATGACAAAGTGGGCGTTGAACGTCGCTCCCGAGCATATTAGCTCTACGCACCGACCTAAAAGCATACAAAAGATGATGACATTTCCGCACAGAACTTTTCCAGTCTGACGTTTCACTTCCTTTCTTTGGAGCATCCTTTCTTCCAACTTTCCCCCTCCCCTCTTAACGCCTTTGTTTTGCTTAAATTTCAGTTCTGCCATTACGGACGCTTTGTGTTACTTGTTGGTTTTCTATGCTTAAACGTTCGACAGCCCGAAGTGGACGCAAGCGCCGTATTGGACGTGTATCTGAGAGCAGTCTCTTGGAATTCAATCCTCCCCAGCCATAAATTTCGTGTGAACGTGATGGTCTTGGCTGACTCACCGGAAGACCTCCTGTAAGTTTGAGGTAAATATATGCTTGGTTACTATGTATGGTCGGAGAGGCAAATACAAGCTAATATGTTTTGCTGTCAGATATATAGTTTGCTAGTCAGAACCCTATTTTTCCGGAACAATGGCTTATCATTTGTAAGAAAGCTAATTCTTCCACGGTCTATGACATGGGTGGGCCGAAAATTCAGGAAACAAAGCATTATCAAATAAAAGAAGTGTTGGCACACTAAGCAACGGGCTGAACTGAATACACCAGCTGTCTAAATTATCTTGATCCGCTTTCAGAAATGACCACATAGCGTAAGGTGGGAGTTCATCATGGAGACGTTTTGAATACTGGTAATATTTGGCTAGAAGCAAAGTAAAGGAGGACAGCGTTCCAAGATTAGCATACATGAATAGAAAGAACATCCTGGAAGCATTCCAACTGCTTTAGCTGATAGCCACTCAGTGTGGGGCTATGGTCCATTTTCAAAAATGGACGACAAACATGTTTAGGATCCCTTAGGGTCTTACATCCTTAAAAAACCAGCACGTAGACGCTGATAGTGTCCATTGTAGACTCACAGGGTTTTCGACCTCGGTTTGTGAGGGGGATGAAACAAGCGCTTTACATTCTTGAACACCCTCCGTTGTGGAATTTCGAGTGTTACAAGGTCGTGCATTTGCCATAGATGACAGGCTTGAATTGGTAAAATGGACGTGACCTACTTTGGGAGCTGAACATCTGAGAGAAAATGAGAGAGTTCAATCGCCGGAATACCGTACACAATACATTAAGGTGTTGATTGCTTTTTGACCTTTTCTCGGCCTGATGCGATCAACCAAGATCGTCTTAAGTCCCATTCAACAGCAGTGCGTGACAAAACCTGACCCACAGCCTGTACTCTCAAGTACAGTGACGGTCATGCTCACTGTCTTGCACATGGTGGATTTCAAAAGGAGCAGGTTCTGAGAGGCCCACTCACATATGGTGCTACATCGCCGCCTGTTGTTTTGCTGGCCCGCCACATGTTGAGATCATCAGTAAATAGTAAGAAATTTATGGTGATCACTATCGTAAACGATGCTAGTTTCCACCGCTCCGACTTTTGCTTTTACCACGTCTCTAATAACATGTCAGGCACTCTTCAAATTCGCCCACTTATGGTTCACCACTTTCAGGGGAATAAGCCAACAACCGTCTTCTGAAGAAGCGTGGCATATGTAACAACCTGTTTTTGCTTTTGTGGGAAGAGACTTCACGTGAAACGAGCCATTAGGCGGGCCCATAACCAACTGGACACAGCTTCAGTCTAGTTACCTGGTTTTGTACTAGCGAGTGATCATAGTTTTACAATTTTACAAAATGTAGGGTATTGGTGGTTTTTTGTGAGTAGCGTAATTTTCGTAGAAAGTGGAAGCCGCGATTAAACTTTGCACAATAATCTGCCTCGATGGGGAATCGAACCCCGGACATACGGATTACCGGTCCGCTGATCTACCACTGAGCTACCGAGGACTGACGATCAGGTGCGCACTTTAATACATGACTTCTGCTTGGTTCGAGACGTATTGCTGCTAAGCTCGCAGTATCTATCCTGGTGTTGCAGATTGGCTCACTCACTCATCATTTCCCAATGAACCGAAATATTTGTCCTCATGATGTTCAAAGGGCGATGGTAAATATAGATTATTGGTGGTTTTTGTGGATGTTGTCCCGGTAATTTTTACAGGCAGCGTTTTCTGGACATTGGCTGAAAAGCGTTAGTCCATCAGCGATTTCAATTTCACAGCCCCCACCTTCTTATCGAGCGTCAGCTCTATTATGAGATTCACCGTGCATAGAAAAATTGTTGAGAACGAACAGGAACAAATCCCTTTTATTTCGTACGCGGGCTTGGTGGTCTGAATGGACGAGGTCTGCTTCAAAGTGAACCGAGATCTCAATAGGCATTTCCAGTCCAGACCCTACCATACAAAAGGTACTCTAAACCCAGCTTTGAATTGGTAACCCCTGTGTCAAGCTTTGCTCACAGATTTCAATGGCATAATGATCAAGGGATCAGCCACTATGGACTATGTGTCGAGTTCCACTCCAAGATCAGACTATCTGCATCTGATGAGTCCAGACGAGACAGAAACTGGTCACGGGGTGTCGGTGTTGGGAGGAGCAACACCGAAACACCTCCAATTCGGATACGGCCCTTGTGATCTGAATGGTCGAGGTCTAGTTCAGCGTGAACTGAGGTCTGCATAGAGCTTACATGTCGCAATCCAACTACACAGCGCATACTCCTAATCCAACTGAGTTGTTCACTACAGAACGAAGCGTTGCTCACGGATGTTAGAGGCATAGTGATCAAAACCTCAGTCTTTAACCAATCAGGCTATTTCCATCTGATGAGTCCAAACGAAGACGAAACCGGTTATGGGTCTCAGTGTTACGATGAACAATACCACAGCCCCTACACCTCCGATAAATTCCTAGTGATCGGAATGACCGAAGTTCACTTCAAAGTATACCGTGGTTCCAATAGAGATTGCGTGTCGCAGTTCAAACACAAGACGGATATCCCAGAGTGCAAAATTGGAAGTGTATCATGGCTTTGCCGGGAATGCAATAAGTTACCCCAGTTGTTCTTCAATCCGTGGCTTAAAAATTTACTAAGCGTAAATAACTCGACTTCGCTGTTTCCATCGTTTTTACAGTTTCGCATTTGCCTGGGTAATTAAATGTGGTCACGTCTGAGTTCCTGTCACCTGGTTGAAGCAGCAAAGTCTAAAGATATAATTGCCAACGACCATCTTTCTATTGCAGAAAAGAGTGTCAATAGAACTTCTGGATCTTCATAGGCTTTTAACTTGTATCAGTTTGTGGTAAGAGGGTGCTTAGTAACTTGGATTGGAATCCCAAAATAAACCTTACCGTCGGCAGTTAGCTTCCAACCAATCTTCACGCGCCGTTCACCTGGGATGAACGTTTGGAACATAGACGAAGTATTATACATGAACAAGGCATTAAAACCGTGCAGATGAAAGTGATCCAACCTCCGAAACTAGTCACTACCTCTGCATTCATGGACCATTAAATTTGTGATTCTTTGAAATTGACACCACAATGGCCGTATCGTATCCGTGAGGTAGTACTTTGTTCGTCTGATTGGTGCACTTGCCAGGGCACCTAGACCGTGAAGCGGTTTATATCTCACCTAATCCATATTAAACCGTACTAGAAAGAACACCGGCACTCTCTAGTGCATTTGCACACGAAGCTTTTGCTATATTTTAGCGAACAACTGGCAACAGTCATTATGTGTCTGTTTTCGAGAGGCAGTCACTAGTTGACTAGCTTACTCGCGTTTCGAACAACAACCGTGGACTCGAACTGACTGGAACAAGCTTAACTGTGTTTATCTTAGCCCAAAATTCCGAAGATTTTATCAGATTGCGCATCGCGGCTTACTGCGGTAACTACATCCCGTTTGTTAAATTTCCCATTGTGGTGCGTTTGGCTCGGCTCAGGTGGCGAGGCCAGACATATTTTAAACAAAAAGGCCAATCATGCCTATACAATGGTGCTCAAACAATGGTCGCATAAGTTGAAAGGACATAGTATATGACAGACGGTATACACGTAGAAACAGATGGGCTGAAGTATTCATGGTTTGAAGACCGAGAAAAGACAGAGTGACCGTTGACTCAATGTGAAATGTACTGTCCGCAATTCGTCGACACACAGATAAAGGCTGTAAACAGTAACGACGAAATTCAGGATCTGAGCAGCAGTTCCGATATCTACACCGGAGGATTGTAACTAAGCACAAAATTGGCTATGGTGTGCAATACCGCGCGTAGACAAAACCTGGAATTTTACTGCGTAAGTCGTTCAGTGATTTATCTTTAGCCTGGACACGTATTGTCCTTCCCACCTACATTCAGCTTTCTCACGTTCCAAAACTTCACTAAGTTGAATGCAGTCTATAACAGTTAGCTTCTACAGTTGTCTTGACAGGTGAAGCGGAAACCCCTGACTAACTTTCTAACCGCACACAGATTTGGTTCTACCTCATGAGCATTTCTTTTGCATTCTATTCAATGGCCGTCCAAATTCGACTTTCGAATATTGTGTCATATACGAAACTAGCTCATGCAACGTTTCCCGAAATATTTGGCCCTGTTCTTATTTGTAACTGGGTCTCACGACCATAATTTTGCACATCAGGCATACTTGGACATTTGTGGCCCATGGTACACACACTCCGAACGGAACACTCGTCATTTTTACTGAGTTCCTTAACGAAACACACAAAAATCCCGTTTTTGTCAAGACAAATTACTCGAAAGTGAGTTCCATCGTTTATTTGTTTTCATGGATAATATCTTATTTAACTTAAACTTGTTTCACACATGATAAGTTTGGTTCACTTGGGGTACAATAATAGCAATTTTGTAAACTTAATGATCCACCTCAATTTGCAGTGTGTTGAAATTGCATGAACGAGCAGCAAAGCGGTGGCAAGTATTCATCAAACTTACTTTGCCCAACTAAGTTGTGCATAGGGGTCGAATGTACACCATTTGTCTTTCTGGACAAGCCAACCGGTACATTCTTATTTGGGTTGCTTTCCTTTATTGCATAGTATTCAACTCGCTCAAGTCCTCCAAGCAGCCGATTAACTTGGATATAACTACCAAGGCTAACGCTATCCACTCATCGAGCTGATCACACCAAACCGGCAGCAGGTTTCTTGTGCGCCCACTGATTTGCCACCTAAAGTACACCAAGAAATACAGTTGCGTGAGGCAAATGGCAAGTATTTCTCGCTAGTATAACGGCACTCTATTACCCGTTTCTTCCATGTTTCGACTATTCGAGTTGACTTCTAAATATATCCTGGCTCAGAAGCAGATTACGCCTCCTCCTCCATGTAAACATCAGGAACCTAATTGTGTGATAGACTGCGACACATAACCTCCTTTTGATTTGAAGCCAACTGGACGCGGTCCCGGGGATCGAAATAGCAGAGGTTGACTTCAAAGCGAACGTTGGCCTCAACTGATATTGCGTGTCCAAATCCACACACCGCGGGTAGTCCAAAACTAATGAGTTTCTAACCACTGTGTTAAGTGCTTCTCATGGAGCTCTGGTCCAACTGCCAAGACGAAAGGCGTCAACGACGGTGTCGTGTTCCCCTCTTAGCTCCAGCTTTCGCTACCTGATGTGCCCAAACCAGGACGAAACCGATCAGTTGTGTAATGCACTATTGGGAGTGAGTAGCTCCAAAACTCTATATGGTATTTAAAAATCAGCCAATAATGCTTATTCCCGGTGACGCGTTGCCCGTGGACCTCGGCGGTTTGTTATGGGGACGCTGGTCAACAATCCTTACGTCCCGGCTATCTTTATCTGATGAACTTAAACGACGGCGAAGCATAATGCGGGGTGAAACAATATGTGTGCAGCATTCCGTATTTATTTGTCCTAAGTCCAGCAATGCATCACATCCCTGTTGTCCTGCTCGTCCGATCCGGTCTTCTCTCTGTCCTGTGGGGGGCCAGCGACTTCGGGTGTTGATTGGGAATCAAGCCTCTATTCAGGCGAGGGATGAACACTTTAGCTGGCGACGGATTAAACCCGAATCAAGATCTCCATATTGGCTGACGAGCTCAAGGCCGTACTGCTGCAGCAACAAACACAATTTGAGGCATCCCAACTCAGGCTGATCGAAACTCTTACGCGCCAACTCTCAATCCAGACCGGTTCACTGTCTACAACCGTCAAGCCGTCCGCATCAGTAGACGCCATCACTAACAGCATTACCGAATTTTCGTACGATCCTGATGCTGACCTCACCTTTGAATCTTGGTTCAAGCATTATGAAGACCTGTTCCGCGTTGAACTTGGAGACCATGTTGACGATTGGAAAGTCCGATTGCTGTTAAGGAAACTTGGAACAGCAGAGCACTCCAGGTACGTCAATTATATTTTGCCTAAGAACGCTCGAGACTGCACTTTTGAGGAGACTGTCAAATGCTTGGACCAAATATTTGGAGAGCAGTCATCCATCTTCAACACGCGATATCAATGCCTGAAGATCACCAAGGTGGACGCTGATGACTACGTCACTTACGCTGGCATCGTCAATCGCGAGTGCGAAAAATTCGACATCGAATCCATTACGGCAGATCAGTTCAAATGCCTGATTTTTATCTGTGGCCTACATTCCCCACGGGATGCAGAGATTCGCACCAGGCTGCTGAGTAAACTTGAACATGACCAGCAAATGACTCTACAGACCATAACCACTGAATGCCAACGATTACTGAATCTCAAGCATGACACGCTTATGCTGGAGAAACAACAATCAACTCCAAGTCTTAGTGTATTAAAAACAACCTCAAAGAAACCGCTTCCAAGTGAAACAGGCCATAAAAAGCCCAGACAGAATATCAAGCCGCCGACTGCCTGTTGGAGATGTGGTGAGTGGCATTTTGTTCGAGTGTGTCCATTCCTGAAACGTGTTTGCCACAAGTGTCATAAACGAGACCATAAGGAAACGCATTGCCGATCCAGACTGCAGTTCAAGCGTGCTAGACATGCGCGACCGAATTCAAGTGTTCCTAAAAGATTCAGCAGCTATAGTACGGTTCAAGCGGCCTATTCTGATGAACATGTGGCTCGCAGAAAGTACTTCAGAGTTCACCTGAACGGGCAACAATTGCGTCTTCAACCAGATGTAGCCTCGGACATCACAACTATCTCCAGCAAAACTTGGCAGTATATTGGTGCTCCGTCAATCAGCCGAACGACACATGTTGCACTCAACGCTTCAGGAGGTCAATTTAATCACATTGGTGAGCTGCAGTGTGAAATGGTTTTTGGCGCTGCTCGGGCAAATGGTGCCGTGTATATTACGCGGCTGTCATATTTGAATCTGCTTGGACTCGACTGGATCCAGAAGCGCCACCTGTTCGACATTCCCCTGAATCAAGTCTGCAATACTCTCCGGCTCGGATATACGAGATCATCTTTGGAAGGTGAGGAACCAAATAAAAACTTGATCACGCAGCTAAGAAGGAAATTTCCGTCTGTGTTTTGCAACGAATTGGGAAGATGTACAAAAACCAAAGCATGCTTTACTGTCAACGACGGTGCCAAACCCGTATTCCGACCCAAAAGACCGGTGCCATACGCTGCGCTTTCGATTGTCGATGCGGAACTTGATCGTTTGGAGCGGGCCGGCGTCATCCAACCTGTGAACTATTCAGCGTGTGCAGCATCTATTGTTGTCGTCAAGAAGACCAATGGAACCGTTCGTATCTGTGCTGACTATTCTGCGGGATTGAATGCTGCTTTGAAAATGCACCAGTATCCTTTGCCAGTCCCAGAAGCTTTATTTGCTAAGCTCAATGGTGGCTCTTACTTTGCAAAGCTACATTTATCAGGTGCTTATCTTCAAATTGAAGTCGACGTTCCTTCAAAGGAGTTGCTGGTAATCAATAGGCACCGAGGTCTTTAGCAGTTCAACCGTTTGCCGTTTGGTGTCAAATCAGCTCCCGCGATTTTTCAACAAATTAAGGATACGATGTTAGCTGGGTTATCAGGCGTCGCAGCTTACTTAGACGACATCATAATCAAAGGGGCTACCTTTCGAGAGCTGATGAAAAGACTGGAAGCAGTTCAATACCGTGTTCACGACTACGGTTTTCACTTGAAAGCATAAAATTGCAATACCGGCATGAAGTGTGTAAAGTATTTTGGCTTCCCGAAACAAATTGCTTAGCCGTGCGGTCGCAAAAAACTGTCCTCCTGCGTTATTCGCCTCCAAATCTTTGGATTTATTTTCACAGAGACCTACGTGCCATCATTCGATTTGGCTCCGCGAGCTCCTCCTACCACTGTTCATCTATTGGATCTATCATTCACGGATCACCAACAAACTGTGCTTTTGGAACTTCGAAGTCAACCGTATTTGAAGCTTATCGGATGTTTTATTTTTCCTCTCGTCGCATAAGAACTCTTGTGGTCTTATTTTAAAGATCTTTTTGAGAGTCACCCGATCAGCTTACTATCATTCCTTCAAGTCGCTCTACAAAGCGATAGTCGTCAATTTGATCCGCCCTTGGAACTGCCACTGTCGTCATTAGACAGTATTTTCCAAGTCACCATGCTTTGCCTCAGTCACTTTGTCTCGCATCGCTGTCTACCCTCTACCGTCTGGATCGATAGCACGCACATTGCCTGGACCAGCTGACCTCAAACCAGCGCCGATCGCCACGCAACGGTGCGTCAGTATCTCCATCCTCTTCCTACCCCTACTGAGAACATGTCTCGTATGGAAAGCAAATGCGAATCATGTGCCAAAGTGGTAAAAAGTGGTCTGGTGTGTACCATGTGTTTGAAAACCTATCACACTACCTGCCTTGGGAAGGGGTCGACGAAAGCAAACACCGCAGAGGCGCCTTGGTTCTGCTAAGTTTGCAAGTCTATTACATTTGTTAGCTGTCTATCGGTGCTACTGAAGAGGTGTGAAAGACTAATCGAAGCGGTCGAGCAACTGGTGAGCGCCAGAGTTACACCCATGGGAGGAAACGGACCTGCACTTGTGAGTGAAAATAACACCCCGAACTCCCTAGTCAGGCCGAAGAAGCGAGCCAGGCGTCCCAACCGAACCCCAACGACTCAGCCTCCAGCAGTATCAACTCCATTCTCTCTCCCCTCCTATAAGTAAAAACAGTGCCTGCAGCGCGCCTGCCTCAACTTCTGTACTGTGTGCTGCACCTAGTAGTCTGTTCACTACACTCGAGACTGTAAGCTACAGTCAACCAGCAATAGTGAACAACCCGGCAACGTACGCATCGGTTGCCGCCAAGCAAACACCGGAAAGAGCACCGGTAACCTTTGTGCCCGAATTAGAGAAAACAAAACTGCCGCAGCACGGATGGCACACACCAATGCCGTTCACAAATTCAACAAAAACACCAGATACTAAGCCTCAAAATCCAAAACCAGTAGCCACCAGGCGCAACCATGGTGTCCTAAACATTGTATGCACTAATGTCCTCGAATCCAAATCCAATACAATTAAGGGTAAGTTGACGGACGGTCGAAATCAGTGGGGTTCCGTCTGTACGTCGATCGGAGTCCATGCTAATCCCACTACATTAAAAATAATCTCGCGCCACTCAAACGCGTTGCACTACGGCAAACCCCGGTTACTTCGGGTAACACTAAACTCGGCGGACGAGACTGAGGCCGTTCTGCTATCTGCGAATCGTCTCCGCAACGACTCAAGTGGGGTGCACATACTACCCGAAATCCCGTGGAAAGAACGTTCAGGGG